AATCACATACATCTGTTACATGCATAATATATATTATATGCAGTCGTATTGATACCCTGCCTGGTGATCAATAAGGAGAAACATACCTTCCATTTAAATACAGTATTATGGAGAAATACATAATTACATGAAACGGGTCTGTGAATATAATTAATTATAAATATAACACCTCTTCCTTCAAAATGGGGCGGTGGGGTAGTTTAGTGGTTAAATCGTCTGCTAGCCTCGCCAAAGACCCAACATGGGTACAATGTGTGAAACCCATTTCTGGTGTCCCCCGCCGTGACATTGCTGGAATACTGATCTTCAGTAACCCATGCTTGCCGTAAGAGGCGACTAACGGGATCGAGTGGTCAGGCTCGCTGACTTGGTTCACAGATGTCACCGGTTCCCAATTGCGCAGATCGATGCTCATGCTGTTAATCACTGGGTTGTCTGGTCCAGACTCGATTATTTACAGACCGTCGCCATATAGATGGAATATTGCTGAGTGTGGCGTAAAACTAAACTCACTCACTCTACCCATGCTCTGTTCGCTCTTCAAGGAAGCTAACCAGAGTCATAACCTATCTGAATTAGTTTACAGCTAAAGTGAGTGAGTGAGTTCAGTTTTACGCCGCATTTAACAATATTCCAGCTATATCACGGCGGGGGTTACAGCTAAACAGGCAACTGAGGGCTATTATCCCTAGCAAGAAATTTAAAATGTTATGGACACAGATCTTTCTGTGCTACAGCCGCCATAAAATGGAACGCAATACTAGTCTTTCTGAATCAGTTCCAGTCAAAATGAGACTTCTGAAAACTAATCTGTTGAACTGTTTCTATCAAGATTCCTAATTTTGACTCTCTCCTTGGCTGGTCCCTTTTTGTCCATTCTTATATTTAGGTTCGAATGTTAACACACCATCTATCCACCTATATGTAAGTACAGTTGCTTAACTTTGCAGTTTCAGCATATTTATGCGTGTTTGCTTTTGATTTCTCTGATGCGTTTATATTTTATTGCTCAATTGTAGGTTATTCTGAAACAGATAGTTTAAACAGTATGTTTTCCACAATAAACTAAGCGACAATTAAACTGCCCTAAAAAGCATGAAACAAGCATTACAGATCATCTACGCAAAAAAACTGAAATTAAGCTCTTAACGCTCCCCCTAGCCTTGCTCTAAGGATACAATGAGTGCTAAGCCCATGCATGCGTAGTAATTCCCGTAATTCTATCTTTTAAAAATGCAAGGCAAGGCAAGCGGACAGGGCCCCTGTCTGTTATTTATATTTGTTTTAATTTATCATTTAATCTATTAAGTATTACCTTAGAGACGTGTGCAAGTCTACGCTCGCCTCTACGTACTCTCAACTCCTCCAACACGTTCACACCCACCCCACCCCCACCCCCACCCCAAATATTCTTCTTTTAAGCCCCAACCGCGTGGGCCATTCGGACGCCTAGACTAACGGCCAGAGCTATATATAACTTTTTGGGTCTTTGAGTTATGTACTCGCCTGTGTTCATCTCAATTGGGTATCCTAATTTTCCTTTGAGTAACCAAGTAAATTGTAACCACCTCACTCAAACTCAATTGGGTATTTTGCCATTTTCCATTTACTGTTAAAAAATAATAAAGTTCAAATGTTGGTTTACGTGTTTGTTATGTATATACACTGTATTTGATCTGTAATGCGAGAAACGATAGGAAAGACTAAACCAAGTTAATGTGCTGAAATAGAACCTCTCAATATACCTCAGTTATTTTATCTATTTTTTTGTACGCATGTAAGATCACAAATTTATTGAGCATTTACAAAGCTTCAAGCGTACTTGTACGCAATAGACTTAATAGGAATTGAGTTTTCAAATAAATATTTGCGTACTTTATGCAGATCTGCAGCTTATCTGTGCCTCTGATTGTCCTGTCAACACATCCAAAACATAATGAGTACAGCTGTAACGTGAAACTACATCCCTAATACACTCCAGTTGTTGCCAGGCAATGTATATTGACAGCGAGAGGCAAAGTAAATTCATAATCAAGTTATAAACGAGTTAACGAAGTAGTTAGGGGAAAAATATCCTAAACTAGTGATTACTGAAAGGAACAAATACATTCTCATATAACGGATAAGACTAACAACTAGTCTCTGAAATGAACATATTTCACAGAAACAAAAGCTTTAAAATAAAACTAAAATACAATAAAGGAGCCCAGAGACTTTCTTCATTTTCCTGAAACAGTGCAAAGCTAGACTTGCTACACATTCTAGACTTGCATGGGCCACATTGGGTATATTTTTTCAGGGTCTGTACGACAAACTAATAGCGGGTGTGTGTGTACGTATGTGTGTGAGCGCGAGTGAGTGATGACAGATGTAGATCAAAATTCAAATACATTTTCCAAATCCTTCCTTATTACCTTTATCTCCGGACTTCACATATCAAGAGTCGCTCCCTATCACCCGTATTGACAAAACCTATTTGGGTGGTGTCCCTATAGAAATAGCCTTATGAAGCCTGGGAAGGACATTTGTTATCCATTTGGCTATCTCATACAGCATACAAAGTAGCCCCCTACCCGCTGTTCAAAGGTCTATTAATAGCCTCTCTATAGAAATAACTATACAATGTTCATATGAAGTTGGGTGGGTCATTGGGAAGCCTGGCATTTTTCGCATTCAAATACTGTAACGTACGGGTTGGAAATAATATTACCTTCTCCCTTTTCAATTTGGTTATCTAACAGAGTAAAATGAGTCACTCCCTGCTCCCACTTCAAAGGTAAATGGGTACCCACAAGGTAGGGGTTTCTCTATGCAAAGCGTCACTATAGAAATAGCTTGAAGTTTGGGTGGCACATTTGGGAGACTGGCATTTTTCGCATCAAAATACTTTAAAATACGGGTTGGAAATAGTAGTGTGTTCTTCCTCATCTATTTTGCTATCTTTACATTATCACGGCATTGTTTCTTTGGGGTACCAAGGTACTATTTGCCATGGTGTCAGTGTATTTAACAATGAGTCGTTTTCACACGTGTTTAGTAGTTGAAAACCAAGAAAAAACCGAAGATTTCATTCATTTCCACAGACCGCCTGACTGCACACCCTAAGTGCATAAAATCTATGGTAAATTATTTCACGAGGCTGAACTGTAATGAAAAGGGTCGCTACAATAGTCTCAGTTAGAAGTGTAATCGTACTTTCCAAAATGATCTGCGTGTTGTAAGAGGCGACTAACGGGGTCGGGTGGTCAGGCTCGCTGACTCGGTTGACACATGTTATCGGTTCCCAATTGCGCAGATCGATGCTCATGCTGTTGATCACTGTATTGCCTGGTCCAGATTTGATTATTTACAGACCGCCTCCATATTGCGGGAATATTGCTGAGTGCGGCGTAAAGCTAAACTCACTTAGATATTTGACCCAAATCTGACCCCACATCAATAGTTTTCTGTTGAATCCATGATTTGATCCTTAGCAAAGTGTAAATAGTATATCTTACAAGTAGGTTGCTGTACATTACTACATAATAATATAGGCAACAGCCTTATCATGACAAGGGTGCATTTTGGGAAAAGGCGCAAATGGATTACTACATTCAAAAGGTAGAAAGAAGTAAGTTCCAGCAATGGCCACTATTGTTACAACCATATCAAGAAATGTGTCCCAGTGTAAATCCGGATTTCACAAGTCTCTGAGGACGCCAGTATCTTACAGGGACAATGTTATCCTTTTATTTACACATTTTATCAATAAAAAACTATTAATTAATACCTTAGACACGTATACAAGTCTATGACAAACACTCGATGATTACTAAATTATGTTAAGAACACTGCAAAATTATTTCTTTTCAAACAAGAAGTGGGTGTGAGATTCCTGTAGATAACTGGTGAGATAAGGGCCAGTGGAGTTGTTTCAGCCACAGCCTGGGAATAAAGGATACAGTGATGGAGACTTGCCGCCAGTCTAGGTAGCCCAACCCTCCCCAGGATCGCGGTCACTGGCTCTTCACAGTGATTCCTAGCCTTGCTCCAAGGCTGCACTGAAGGCTAAGCTCATGGACGTATAGTAATTCTATCCTTTAAAGAGGCAAGTTTAGATAAGTGGACAGGACTAAGGACGTCAATCGGTATCTATATAACAGATTGGCATCCCTAGCACACACACACACACACACACACACACACACACACACACACACATATATATATATGAGGGATATTTATATTTTTAAGAAATTATCATTTGAACTATTAATCGTTCGACGCCAGTCTGTTAGAGGGATATTTATATTTTTAAGAAATTATTTTACACTATTGATTATTACCTTGACACCAGTCTGTTAGAGGGATATTTATATTTCTAAGAAATTATCATTTAAACTATTAATTATTACCTTAGAGACTTGTACAACTCTAGCTGACTCCCAGCACGCGGCACATTAGAGTCAACCCCTATTCGAATCTAACCGGTCTCCTTCAGCACTGTCTTCCAATACAGAGAGACAAATTACTTTCGTGTTTATGAATAGCATACAATCAAATTCCAGGGCAATCTGTATCTTAAATTGTTACAACCCTTCTCGAATGATTCTAAACAAGACGGGCCTACCATCTCGATCGAATTCATACCTGTAATTTGAATACAACATTATCACCGGAGTCCTGTTTGTGGGCCTACTCGCGTGTTATTTATGACTCTTAGGTGTCAGTAAATGTTGTACTCTCGACTGAGGGTGTTTACGAAGAAGACCCTGAAGAGCGTGGGGCACGCCCCGCACCCTTCTACCCGGCCCTTACCCTTTCAGAAACCTAATGCTTCTACAGTCTACAGATGTCTGTGTGAGAGGTGAATTTCACAACCCGGCGCGTATTGCTACCATAAAAAAACGCGCTCTGTATTCCTTCCCAGAAGAAAAGTAGATGGTATATATCGCGAGGGGGCAATCACAGTGTGAGATTCTGTAGAATGTAAAACAATATAAGAATAAATAACTCATTACCTATATGTTTCCACGGGTATTAACGCCGGTTCCTCAACAGTGGCTCATATGATCCTCATCCCAACGAATGGTGTTCGTGACAGTGAAAGCTTGGCTTGTAAATCCCACAACACAATGATACTCCGTGAATTGATTCAAACACACAGGTGTATTCTACTGCCGGTTCGTCCCGGACGGCTCGATGTAATGGCCACACTCACTCGTTCTGAAACGTAGTGGTAAACACAACAACTACCCGTTTCGTGTCGCCACCGGCTGCGACGTCACACGAACATCCAATAGGGTGAGAGGTATGTTCACCGTGACCAGACACAAAGGTATGGCGTCTCCTCTTTAACCAGTCTGTTAGACTGCGTGTGTGCTGCCGATCTGCATCCGCGCAAAATATAGCATTGAAATGGAGAATACTCACCTGAAATCGGATAGCATCATTGAAGGTTTTGACCCCATACATTTAACAACTAAAGCGAATCGGGGACAATGGACACTAGCCTTGCTCTAAGGCTGTAGTGTTAAGCCCATGCATGTATAGTAATTCTACCCTTTAAAGGCAAATCTAGAAAAGCGGACGGACCCCAGTCTGTTGTTGATATTGTTTTAGAAATTATCATTCAAACTATTAATGATTACCTTAGGGACAAGGCTATGTGGACACAAACTGGAATCGTACTAAAAATTGAGGGTACTACTCTTCCTAGCCTTGATCCAAGGCTGTACTGAATGCTAAGCCCATGGATGTATTGTAATTATATCCTTAAAGAAGCGGACAGAGCACTAGTCTGTTAGAGGGACAATGTGTTAATTCTATTTATACGTTTTAGAAAGTATCATTTAAACAGTTACTATTACCTTAGAGTCTAATGTAACTCTTCCCTACAAACCCTACTATGAAACTAACGTTACAAAAAAGTTCATAATATCAATATATATCATAATATTGCCACAGTGATATCAACTGCTTATAAATATAAACTTAAAACGCCATTCGACCTTATCAGAACTGGAATATTTCCTTATTATACAAAACTGAATGGAAAAGTTTGGTATGTGACGCAATATTCTTAAACCAGAAAGATTAATAGATTTGAGGTATTCATTAACTGGAGCAAACTCGTCTCTGTGAGCGTTTAAAGCTGTACCCAATAACGTCCTGGTCACCTGATGATTATAGAGCCGCTTTCCTTGGTATTCTCGTTCACTTTGAATTAACGTTTACCTATAAAATAGTCATCCTCGATAATCTCCAGGGTATACGTTCCGATAAATCTCTAGTAACAGTGACAGCTCCGTCAATAATTAAAGTGGTAACATTTGGCTCTTCTGATATTGCTATAATACATGCTTCTATATATATGCCAACAGGTCACGTTTTTGGGGGAGGGGATGGTGTCTGCTTTTCATGCTGATCAGAATCATCTAAATTTGACTGACGCTTAATGTACACTCTGATAAGAGTTCTACGCCACTCTTCATTGTTTCTAGACCGCCTCCGTGGTGTAGTGGTTAGAGCGTCCGCCCGGAGAGCGGAAGGTCGCTGGTTCGATCCCCGACCGCGTCATACCAATAGACGTTAAAATATGGTACTTGTTGGTCCCTGCCTGGCGCTCGGCATTAATGGGTACAACAAGGACTGGTCGGCTCGGAGTCAGTATAATGTGTCTGAGTGGGGTATTCATGCTTCACTGCGGCATGGTATCTCAGTGGGCTAGCACTATAAAACCAGCTTCAGTCTGGGCTAGTACCAGCAACCGCACATATACACACACACGCATGCACGTCGTCATATGAGCGAAATATTCTCAAGCACGACGTAAAACCCAATTTCACCTCATCTCATTGTTTCTAGCTCTTCTTCTCTACCCCTGTCACGTGCTGTTACTCGGCTTTGTCTGTCCACAAACTTTCCTTTTTAAAGGTCTCAAACTGCTCTTTTCCTATGTGTCCCATTTTCACATGATGCGATGGCCCCGGAGGTCCCGCTACAGTTTCCTGAAATGATTTAAAAGACGGCAGTAGTAAAAAGTAACTTTTTGACAAGGTAAGATGCAGACGATCAGAAAGTACAAGATGGCAAGCTATTGGCTTGCACAATGCAGGTCTCTCATGTCGCAACATTGGTGATAACTTGTACATTAACCACATGTCTGTTAGTTCACTTAAGAGGAATCATGTGGCCTTTGGTGAATTAAAGTGTCGTCCAAGTCCTGTCAGACTGAGGAACACCAATGACCAGGATGATCGGGTGTAAATTAGTCTGGCAAGACATCAGTATGATACATCATGCCGAAGAACTGCAATGGGGAGTCAGACTCTCCATCATTACTGTCTGATGGTACGTCGTCATACATAATAATAATAATAATAATAATTGATTTATAGAGCGCCTATTTCCAAAAAGATATTGCTCAATGGCGCTATGAAGAGAAAAGATTGTAGACAATGTCTATGGAAAAGAGAGTTTGATCAGATGAGTTTTGAGGGCAGTTTTGAAAGCATCATCAGATTCTATTTCTTTTAGAGTGAGTGGTAGAATGTTCCAGAGATAGGGGCTGCAGCAGAGAACGCTCTTGATCCCATGGCTGTTTTGACATTCAAAGTATAAGCCAAATGTATGCAAAGAGTACGAACTATCAAAGTCTTACATTTGAATCTAGTACACATCGCTCCATTCCTGAAACATAATGGAGCTAGCAGACAATGGAATGACGTCACAAATGTAATTTAAGGACAGTTATTTCATATTGTGGCTGGGTAATATCCAGAACTTTCCTTCTTAGATCCTGCAACCCTACAAATTACAAATAAATCAAAAATATTTTACGGAACCTATATTTGAATAAACTGATGAATTTATACTCACAGTAGCATACACTGAAAACCAGTGACGACAAACAGTAAGTTCATGTTTACATATTTTAGTTGATTAAGTTACCAGTACAATCAATAGACACATCATTATATGGGAAAGTTAGAAATAAAAACATTTGAAAATAGGAAAAGTCACAATTCAGTTTATAATACATCCATTCTCAGAAAGTATAGCCCGGAAGGAGAATATTTTAGTTTCATGCAAAAACATTCCGTATGTAAGGCGGTAGTGTTATTTATTGTAAACCAGTATTTGCATTACCGTGTTCTGTTAAGCCTTAGCAGTGGTATGCTGGTTACTATATTTTGCAGGACGGTGGGGTAGCCTAGTGGTTAAAGCATTCGCTCGTCACGCCGAAGACCAGGGTTCGATTCCTCACATGGGTACAATGTGTGAAGCCCATTTCTGGTGTCCCCCGAAGTGATATTGCTGGAATATTGCCAAAAACGGCGTAAAACAATCCTCAGTCACGCACTTTAGCAGTGGTGTGCTTGTTACTAAATTTTGAAGGGCGGTGGGGTAGCCTAATGGTTAAAGCGTTCGCTCGTCACGCCGAAGACCCGGGTTCGATTCCCCACATGGATACAATGTGTGGAGCCCATTTCTGGTGTCCCCCGAAGTGATCTTGCTGGGAAATTGCTAAAAGCGGCGTAACACTTACCTCTCTCACTCACTGGAACAGATGATATCCAGCCCTACGACATATTTATCCGAGGCAGTTCGGGTCGAGTAATCCGTGAGAGCAGTAAGCAAAAGTTCGCACGAGCGTGACGACAATGGACGGGATGGATACCAAGATATATATTTTGCTGCATGAACACATCTGACCTGGTAAACACAACAGGCTGTTTAAGTGCCTAGGAACCTTACCTATGGTTGAGGAAACAAACGAATGTGGTTGTTAATGTATTTTGAGGGGGCGATTGAGTAGCGAAGGGTTTAAGCGTTCGTTCGTCACGCCGAAGACCCGAGTTCGATTCCCCACATGGGTACAATGCGTGAAGCCCATTTCTGGTGTCCACCGTCTCGCTGGAATACTGCTGAAAGCAGCGTAAAACTAACTCACTCAATATTATATCTCGACTGGGTGTTGCCGAAAGTTTCAGAATTGAAATATCTGGAAACTAATATTTATTGCATATACAATAACACTGAATAACAAGGAACGGTTATTCGATGAGCATCACATTCTGTTTGTTTGTTTGTTTAACGTCACATGCAGCAATATTCCAGCTATATGGCGGCGGTCTGTAAATAATCGAGTCTCGACCAGACAGTGATCAACAGCATGAGCATCGATCTGAGCAATTGGGAACCGATGACACGTGTCAGCCAAGTCAGAGAGCCTGACCACCGATCCCGTTAGTCGCCTCTTACGACAAGCATGGGTTACTGAAGATCAATTCTAACCCGGATCTTCACGGGTCATCTGTCTCAGTGTGCCTGTAACACATGCCTGTACTTGTACACCAGATTTACCACAGGTACTAGACTTGGACAAGTCCCTGAGCTAATAATTAATAGTTTAAATGAAAATTTCTAGAAAAGTATGAATAACAGACTGACCGCTTATCTAGACTTGCCTCTTTACAGGATAGAATTACTATAGTGAGTGAGTTTAGTTTTACGCCGCACTCAGCAATATTCCAGCTATATGAATGCGGTCTGAAAATAATCGAGTCTGGACCAGACAATCCAGTGATCAACAGCATGAGCATCAATCTACGCAATTGGGAGAGTTGCTATACATCCATGGGCTCAGCATTCAGTACAGTCTTGAAGCAAGGCTACAGTACCGATATGTACCAATGTACATTCATTGATGATGTTTGCCTGCTGCTTCACGCCGCACTTGGCATTCTTCCAGCTATATGACAGCGTCATGTGATTGACACAGCATTGATCTACACAGTTGGGAACCGATGACATGCATCAACCAAGCCAGCGAGCCTGACCACAAGATCCCGTTAGTCGCTTCAAACGACAAGCATGGGTTACTAAAGGTTAATTCTAACATGAACCTTCACCGGTTGGCACGTCTATCTAATAAGGACACCACAGTCGTGATACCTCATATAACGGCACGAATTGTTGTTTCACGGAGAAATGAATGATAAAGCCAACGGCGGTCTGACATCCGATTGCCGGACAAAACGCGAAACCACTTGCGCAAGTCGCTTTGTCGCCAGTCATTATAGTGCTACCTTTGGTCGCGATAATACAGGTCACGTGGTTATTCATAACGTGAGTGAAATTGACAAGTAAGTGGCAGGTGCTCCGAATCTGACCTTGGAATGACACCAGTTTTGCTCCGCAATGTAAACAACGCTAATGAATCTAAACTAACACATATTTGTGTCAGAACTACATCGGTGATTTAATATAATCCCATTCGTGGAACTGCCAAACTTAAGTAATACTTTAAATATATTTACGAATGCATTATTTGAATAAAGCTTTTAATTACATTTTTACAGAGATCGGAAACATCTTCAT